CCCCCCGGCTTGTACACGCCCAAGGAAGGGATGTCCCCCTCTCTGTAACACCTGCCGTCACCGTCTCTGCCGCCCTCTCCACCTCCTCACTCCATGACAAAGTCTGCTGAGGGAGTGTCAAATACGGCTGATCTTGATCCACACTCCTCTCCTCCACATCACGTCTTTGTTGCTCGTCTTTATCACCTCGTCCTCTACCACATTGCGCAGCCAGATGATCATGCGACCCGCACAATCGACAAGTGCGTCGCTGCCCAGCAAATGTCACAAATACGTGAGTTCTAAAATCTTCCATCACCACATACAATGGAATAGGAGGTCGGAGCATCATCTTCACAGAGTATGTGCCCTCAGGTATCCCCATATACGGCCCAGCCGACCACCTTCCTGCAGTGACCGTATGTATCGTACCATATTTAATCATAGCGAACCGGATGTCAGATGCATCCGCTTCGAATGGCACATTCCTGATCTTAACCCATGTATAGTAGCTTGATACATCGTGTATCTGCACCGTCACAGCATGATTAACAGGTATGGCGACTTCCTGGAACTTATTCACCACTGCCTCATACACACTTGTCGAGCTGAATTTTACAAATATCCTCTTCGTACCGTTCAAGTCCACAAATCTCATTGACTATGCAGTAGGTATCTCTGATTATTGCAGGCAGAAACTGTATTGATACGACTCCGGCTAGCCTCCGCCATGTTGTGAAAATATTACTGCAGCCAGACAACTCCAGGGGGCAGCAGCAGCACACGTCCTCTCCACTCAAGACTTGAGAGACGAATGTGATTAACACGAGGTATGATAAAGCTCAGGGAGAAGGGAGAGGGAGGACCCAGTAGCGGTCAGTGAAGAGGCTGGGCCAGGAGCTGAGTCTCGACCCGTACAAGCACAATTAAGCGAGTACATTTTTTTTTTTTTTTTTATTTAAAACATAGAACAAATACAATAATGTATAAGAGTATAAAATTAAAAACCATACTAGATATTACAAAGCCTCTAGTACACAATCCCGGTACATTTAAAGAACACCATAGACCATGGCCATATTACAACCGTATATTTGTAGATGAATGGTTCAGAGAACCGACATGTTGATAAATTAGACACATGTGCAACTCTTGGGTATCTTTGTTGAGGAAATTTTTCGCCACACAGTGGCTTCATCAGTCCATACAAAGGAGAATCTTGAAGAACAGGAGGAGAATGAGGTAATCAGTCCCTCAACCTTGAGTCGATGTGGTCAGTCCATCAATCTTGAATAGAATACGGCATACGTGCTGAGAGGGAGCTTATAAACCGTTGGCAGGAGAGGTGCAGCAGTCATAGGTCGCGTAACATTTGTTCAATGTTGAAGTAGGTCGTGCCCAAGAATTGGGCAAGCGAAGAATTCCCAAGTATTAAGATCCCAAGAAGTTGCAGTGTCTGACAGGTTTGTAGATGAATGGTTCAGAGAACCGACATGTTGATAAATTAGACACAGTGCAACCTTGGGAAACTTTTGTTGAGGAAACTTTTCGCCACACAGTGGCTTCATCAGTCCATACAAAGGAGAATCTTGAAGAACGGGAGGAGAATGAGGTAATCAGTCCCTCAACCTTGATCGATGTGGTCAGTCCATCAATCTTGAATAGAAACGGCATACGTGCTGAGAAGGAGCTTATAAACCGTTGGCAGGAGAGGTGCAGCAGTCATAGGTCGCGTAACATTTGTTCAATGTTAAAGTAGGTCGTGCCCAAAAAATTAGGCAAGCGAAGAATTCCCAAGTATTAAAGATCCCGAGAAAGGTACACTCTATCATCTCACAGCATATCCACTCCCTAACAAACGTATATTCAGTCCCCCCAAAACCGCCCCCCCAAAGGCATCACTAACCTAACATCCCTTAATAAATCCCTAAAGCCACAGACATATATCCAGCCCCTCTTGGGTCCACATCAGCCCCCCTTTATTACACTATTCCAGTCCCCCACCAACATCGCCACCTCTGGCAGTGCACTTAAGAAAACACAAGATCCTCACACACAAAATCATTCTTTACCTTTATGTTATTTTCAGCCGGCGCATACACACTCACAAAAGACACACGCTTAACCATCCCCCCCACCCATCCACACGCAACACCCTCCTTTCCCCTCCCCCCGCTTCTCTGCAAAACAAACGGCTCGTCTCCCTTTCCCCCACACACCTTTAGACCGGGGCGATGGGAGGGTAACTACTCGAAATCCTGCCCCCTCCACACCCTACCCTCTTTGAAAGTGCTCCTGCAAAGGAAACACAACAAACCCCCCTAGATTTATTCGAAAAATTTCGAAACCATCTCTCTTCTACCCCCAAAATAACCCTTAAACATTTACAGACATACACCTAACCCTATTAAAGTTTCCACCCCTCTTTCCTCTCATCACTCTTTACAACCCAGAGCTTAATTTACGTTCGACCAACCTTCAAGTGCTCTCTTTTCCCTCCCCCCCCTTCTTCCGGTGCCTCCTATCATGGCTACCACCACCTACACCACTACCTTCACACTTCACCTCAGTCTGTTTCCCAGGGCCCTTTTTGCAGGCGTAAGACGTCATCAGAATCTGATGTAGCCGCCCTCTTTCTCGTGACAGTCATGTTACACATGTCGTGGTCAGATGTTTTCCTCTCGATGAACCTCCACCTCCACCTGAGAAAAGGTTTAATGATTCAATGGACGACTCCAAACCACCAAACACGTCCCAAATTATCATGTCTCAGACTTTCTGGATGCTACGATTCTCCGCTGACACCACGCTCAGATGTAACGTCCCTCTCTGGCGGTGACAAAGTCTTCAACACCTCCACCAATTCCTCCTCAATCTCAAGAACCTTCTCCTGTACTTGCTGCTCCTCCTTATCCCAGGAGACGACACCTGATCAGGCAGCTGGGGGGGGGACTCCAACTCACCGCCAGTCCTGTGTGCCCGATCCACTATCTCGCTCCACAAAACACCACGCCCTCCATCCGATGTTTGTTCCTCACCTGTCACCTTTGAAGCAGGGGCTGCGACGTCCACCACAGGTCCAGGCACATGTCTTCGCTTGTCACAGGTCGCCGCAGTGTGATCATACTCACCACATAGGCGCACGACGTCGTTTTTCCTGGGTACATTACCATTACCTGCGTCCTGAAATCTTGCAGTTACACATAGGATGGTATTTGGGGGCCTCAAAGGTCATTTTGAGGTTGAAAGAACCCTCTGGAAAACCAGCATAGGCTCCTGCCGCCCACGTACCATGTTGAGCATAATGCACCGTCCCATACTTCTCAAAAACTTTCCTTATATCCGCCTCGTCCGCCTCAAAGGGAACGTTGCGTAACTTGATCCACGTATAATGCCGTGAAACATCTATCATTCTTACACTGACAGCTGGTGTGACGTTAAGACTCACGTCCTGAAACCTGGTGACTAACGATTCATAAACCGTTGCTGATAGTAGTTTGACGAAAATTCGTTGTCCTCCGTTCAATGCTACACCATACAAGTCACTATCTTGTACGCCATATGTCTCCCGGATGATCTTTGGCAATAAGACTTGCGCAGAACTGGGCGTTATCGTTCCTTTAAGTAGCTCAATGCCTACAGTATTTATCCTTCGTCTCAGACTAACCGCCATCTTGACAATCACAGTGCACCTAAGTTGTTAGCCGAGGTGTGACGGCACCACTTCACACCACTGCAGCCAGGTAACTATACGAGTACAATTAGGTGAGTACACACACAGCTGCACCCAACCTAATAAACCTGACACTTGGTGGCTCTAGCATCTTCATTAATTTGAAACACTTGCTAGTTCCCTCACACTTTATAGCTCCAAAACACTTGCTACCGCCACTTATACCCTCAATAACCCACCACAGGTATGGAGCTGAGGAACATATTAGGCAGAAGTGTTTACCTTGGCCCCGGCAGCTCCAAGATGGACGTTATCAATGAAGTCGTCAAAAAGCCCGTAAGTTTTTCCTCTTTGTTATTGTTCAGGAAAAATAACATGCGATTGCAATTTTGAAAAAAATATCAATAAGAAATTAACAGAAATACGCGAGTGCTTTAATGTTTTATTCACATTTTTAGAGGATTTTTATGTATGCATTGTAAATGTCTGTGAATATCTCAGTGTGACACAAGATTTATACCGAGAGGTCAGTGCCTCTGATTATACACACTGAGAATTTTAGGGATTTAAATTTTTCTTGAATGTTGATGAACAGTTGACATGTAGCGTTAATGACCCACGTGCAGTGGAGAGGATATAATTCCCATTAACAATGTTCTGGACACTGGAACCCTGACTAGTTACAAACTACTCAGCACGAACAGTTGACCATGGATCACCCAGTAAATAGTATTATTAATGGTGGTATAACTTGAACTACACTGTAGATAAAGCTCAGCAGGTAGCTGCAATATAGACCGTAAAGTCTTCTCCTATCTGCCTTTTATCTCTACTCATATGTACCTTGAAAAGCTTGCAGTACCATGAAGTTTTAACTCCAAGGCCACTACTTTCAGATGAGTGACGAAAACTAGTTTAAAAGAAACTACGTGTTTGATATCTTTCTGAAATTATCTTCTGCGACATACAGTTTGTTTCACTCTTAAAAGCGCTTACATTGAAGAATTGTTTGCTTGTGTGTGTATGCTTCGATGAGTGCCAAGTTAGTGTGTGTGTGTGTGTGTGTGTGTGTGTGTGTGTGTTTGCAAACCAAAAGCGTAGATACATAATATTATATAATACTTAATAGGAAATAACCTCCATCCCTTGATATTCTCCCACTGACAGGGTCAAGATAAAGCCTTCTATGTGTTAGATATTAGCGAGGTGGTGGAGAGGGTGAAGCTGTGGCGACAACTGCTGCCTAGAGTTGATATATTCTACGGTAGGTCTTTACAAATGTATGAGTTTGTGTTTATACAAGTATATACAACTTTATGCAAGTAGTTCATTGGTTCATACCTACAGC